AAAAAAAAAAAAAAAAAAAAAATTGACCTTGTAAACAGGGTAGTGTGGTCCTGTTTTTAAATGAAAGAAGGTTTCTGAAATTATCTCAGAACTTTAAGAGAAACTTATGAAAGCAAATACATTTGAGTCAAATCATCATTATGGCTTAAAATGTTGCCATTGCTTTTCTCATTACAGAACAATTGCTGTTAAAGGTAGCAGGAGGGATTTCTGATTTCTCCCCGCACACTTCATTGCACACATGCACACACAGTACGCACATACCTGGGGCATGTGGAGGGCTTGGAATGGAGAGTAGTAACAAAACCATCCAGTTGATGGGCAGGAATGGATGCCATTGTAGGTCTAAGCTGAGTCCCAGGGTGTATCCCCGGGCAATTCTGATGTATGTTGTTTCTAAGAGCTACTGCCCTCAATTCATTGTTCCTTGGTTGTGTCAATCTGGGCAGCGTAGGTAGCAGAAATGTTTGGCCTATGATTGTGCTATGGCCCCTTGCTTAACCTAATGAAACAAAATCTCTGTAGGGCATAAGAATAAAAGGTGTTTACTTTCTCATGAAAACCAGAAGTATTCTGGTTTTTCACAAGAGTTCTTATCACAGCACTTCAACTGAGCTAAATCAAAGGCCAGTGCTCTGTTTTGCAGGTATACGTTAAAAGACTTATACGTTATGCTGATCTCGACATTTGTCCAACCAACTGGAAGAGGATTATCTTAGGAGCCATTCTTCTTGCCCTCAAGACTGGGAGTGAAGACACTGTGTGCCTTGAGGACTACTGCGAGCTCTTTGAGAACCTTACAGTTGAAGATACGTGAGTTTGCACGGTTTTTGTGAACTTTCTAACCATTTTTTAATACTTTATTTGCTCCCATAAACTTAACGCTTTAAGAAATATTTTTAAAGGTTACATTATGCAGATAATAAGAATGGGCATAAAAACCACATACTCTTCCTCCCCAGCTTTAGAGCAACAGTTCATATTTTTCACTGTTCATTGGTAGGTCTTGGTAAATTGCTTTTGTAATAATCTCATAAATGGAAAAGTATTTTTCTGGTGAATATTTTTGGCAAATATCTTACCAGTGTACTACCAGAACATAATAGTATGGTAAATATCCTTATGGCTTTTTACAAGCTGTCTGCAAGTTCCTGTCTCTTTGTGAGGAGCACATGTCTGGCCTTTGAAATAATTATTTGGCCATTGACAAGTCTAGGTCCTCTGGATTGTGAAGTATAGCTTCACCCTGAGTCATACATTGTGAATTTGCTTTTGCTGGTGTTCCCCTGCTTTTATCTAAATATCTATTTTATAGAAACCTTGGATACAGAATAGTCACAGATCTCTGTGCCCCTGTCCCCTCCCCATTAGGAGTCTTGCATCACTGGGCTGATGAGTTAGGAGTTCCAGTGTTCCCCTCAGGCAGTCTGAGAAACATTGCTGGAGCATCACCCAATGCTCACCACACTCAGGAGTTTCTGGGGGCATTCGTGCAACCATAGCAGCACTTGTTGGGGTGGGAGTGGGGGGCCCTATGAGAGTGCAAGAAATCTTGCTGAGTCATGGGGTTGCTCACAGCCGACACCAACATTACACTGAAACAGCAGCTTCATGGGTCTTTCTTCCACTCTGGCCTCCTGAGTGCTGTAAAGGGAAGAGCCTTGGAGCTGGTTGGCAGGGTGAGCCAGGGAGGCATTTCCAACAGGGGCTCTCATAGTGTCCACCAGACATAAAGAATGGCTTTGTGGGTGACACTTAGGAAAATCTGAAGGAACACCTCTTGATAACATTGAAGCATATGAGGCATATGAAGAGCAAGATCTTCAGGCAGTGGCAAGAGGTTTTTGTTTTGGGGTATTTTTGTTTTTTTTTTTATGTTTGCCTATTACTCCATATAAGACTGTCATTCAGAATGTATGAAGTCACAGAGGTGGAGCCTGATGGCTGAATAGAAGTCTCTGCCAATTATGCTCCCCACAGGAATAACAAATTTAGCAACTATCTAAATAAAGAAGCACCTTCATAAGAACTGAAAATTAGGTAAGTGATTATTCTATGTGGTTTTAACTTTATATCACTGAAAGAGGCACTGAACAGCATAAAAAAGACAGCCTTGAATTGTCGATGCCACCACTGTGAACCTCTCTCCTACAAGGAGAGAAGCTACATGCTTGGGGGAGGGAGAGCACAGCAGCTGTGGGGCTTTGCCTGAACTCAGTGCTGCTTTGTCATAGCAGAAATTAAAACAAGGCTGAACTCACCCAATGGCTACCCATGGAGGACACATTGAGACTAGCCCCAGCCAGAGGGGAATTGTTCATCCCTGTGGTTGGACTTGAGTTGTGGAAGCCTGGCTGCTGTGGGATAAAATACTCTGGTGTCCTTAATAAACTGAAAGTCTGTCTAGGTCACAAGGACTGCAACTGTTAGGCAAGTCCGAGTGCCGTGCTGCACTTGGAGCCCGTGTGTTTGGGGGCATGTGACTCAGAGAGACAGCAGCTGGGGCAGCTAGGGAGTGCTTGCCACCCCTCCTCCATCCCTAGACAGTGCAGCTCGCAGCTCTGACAAAGACCTCTTTCTTCCACTTGAGGGGAGGAAAGAGGACTTTGGTCTGGCAACTTGGATACTAGCTCAGCCACAGCAGGAGAGGGCACTGGTCAGAGTCCTGAGACCCCTCCATTTCAGGTCCCAGCTTCAGGATAACATCTCTAGACAAACTCCGGGCCAGAAGGGAACCTGCTACCTTAAAGGGAAGGACTCAGTAATGGCAAGATTCCTCACTTTCTGATGAAAGAGCCCTCAGGCTCGGAGGAATCATCAGTGGTGATCAGGTAGTACATGCCATCAGCCTGGATTGAGATTGAGAGATGTGTTGGCTTCAGGTGTGCCCCAGCACATTCCCAGCTGTGGTGGCTATAAGGCGAGACTCCCTCTGCTTGATAAATGCTGAGGGAAGAGTGAAGAGGATTTTTCTTGAGCTTAGATACTAACTCAGCTACAGTGAGAAGAGCACCAAGTGAGCTGTAGGAGTCCCTGATCCGGGCCTTGGCCCTTCGATGGCATCTCTGGACCTACCTGGGCCAGAGGGGAGCCCACTGCCCTGAAGAGTGAGTTCCAGGGCAGGCAGCACTCACCACAAGCTTACTGAGAGCTCTTCGGGAACATCAGTGGTGACCTTGCACTAATCCCCATGGGACTGCAATGATATTGTATGTGGGTACAGACTACTGTGCCTGGGGAAAAGGGAGGGAAGAGTGGGAAGGCCTGGTGGATTCATTGCCAGCTCAGCCATGGTAGAACAGAACACTAGTAGATGTCTAAGGTTTACAACTCCACCCTGGCTTCCAGACAGCACCTTTGAACCCACCAGTGACCAGGGAACTTGCTGCACTTAAAGGAAGGACAGAGGCCTGGCTGGCATCACTACCTGCTAATTGTAGAGCCTTGGGGCCTTGAATGACATAGGTGGCAGTAGGTAGTTGTTAGAGTGGGTCTTGGGCAGTCACAGTGCTGTTCGGGCTTCAGACCTAGTGCCATCTGGACAGACCTAGTGCTGTCCCAGAGGTCGTGGCCACAGGGGTGCTTGTATCTGTTTTCTGCCAGCTCCAGGCAGCCTAGCAGAGAGAGACAGGCTTCATTTGTTCACTGAGTCTCTGTTCACTAATCTAGAGAATTCCTCCAGGTCTGATTTCAGACCACCAATGTCGTACCTCCACAAGTCTACAAAAAACCAATGATATTCTTCACAGAAATAGAAATAAAAAGTGAATCCTAAAATTTTTAGGCAACTACAAAAGACTCAGAATATCCAAAGCTATCCTGAGCAAGAACCAAGCAAACCTGGATGAATTACATTATCTGATTTCAAATTATTCTCTACAGCTATAGTAACCAGAACAGCATGACACTGTGTTTAAATACAGTCACATAGAGCAATGCAACAGAGTAGAAAACCCAAAAACTGATTCATATGTCTTCAGTAAACTCATTTTCTATGAAGGTGCGGAGCACGTGCAATGGGGTAATGACAGTCTCATCAATAAGTGGTGCTGGGAAAACTGGATATCCATATGCAGAAGAATGAAACTAGGCCTCTATTTCTCACCTTATGCAAAAATCAAATCAAAGCGGATTAAAGATATAAATCTCGGTTGGGTGCAATGGCTCACACCTGTAATCCCAGCACTTTGGGAGGCCAAGAATGGAGAATCACTTGAGCTCAGGAGTTCAAGACTACCTGGGCAATGCAGTGTGTCTATTTAAATAATTTTTTTTTTTTTTTAAAGATTTAAATCTAAGACCTCAACTATGAAACTAAAATAAGACATTGGGAGAATTCTCCAGGATATTGGACTGGGCAAATATTATTTGTATAATGCTTTATAAGCACAGGCAACCAAAGCAAAAATGGGCAAATTAGGTCCTATCAAGTTAAAAAGCTTGTGCACAGCAAAGGAAACAGTCAACAAAGTGAAGAGACAACCCACAGAGTGGGGGAAGGTTTTGAAAACTATCTGACAAGGGATTAATTACCAGAATATTTAAAGAGCTCAACTCCATAGAAAAAAAAATCTAACAATCTGATTTTTTAAATGGACAAAATATCTGAATAGACATTTCTCAAAAGAGGACACATTAGGCAGGCTTCGTGGCATGCAACTATAATTTCAGCTGTTTAGAAGGCTTAGGTGTGAAAATTACCTGAGCCTGCCAGGTGGAGGCTGCAGTAAGCTGTGATTCTGCCACTGCACTCCAACCTGAGTGACAAAGTGACACCTGTTTCAAAACTCCTTAAGAAAAGCATACCAGTCCGGGCATGGTGGCTCACACCAGTAATCCCAACTCTTTGGGAATCCAAGGCAGGCAGATCACGAGATCAAGAGATGGAAACCATCCTGGCCAACAGGGTGAAATACCCTCTTTACTTAAAAAAGAAAAATTAGCTGGGTGTGGTGGTGCACACCTGTAGTCCCAGCTACTTGGGAGGCTGAGGCAGGAGAATTGCTTAAACCCGGGAGGCAGAGGTTGCAGTGAGCAGAGATTGTACCACTGCACTCTAGCCTGCTGACAAACCAAGACTCTGTCTCAAGAAAAAGACAAACAGGTAAATGAAAAGATATTCAAAATCGATATCATTGATTTTCAGAGAAATGCAAATCAAAATTACAATTAGAGATCATCTCACCCTACTTAGAATGGCTTTTATTCTAAAGACAGACAATAACAAGTGCTTGCGAGGATATAAAGAAAAGATAACCCTGGTACACTGTTAGTGGAAATGTAATTTAAGTACAACCACTATGGGGAAGAGTTTGGAGGTCCTCAGAGCTAAAAATAGAGCCACCATATGATCCAGCAATCCCACTGCTGATTATATACCCAAAAGAAAGGAAATCAGTGTATCAGAGAGTTACCTGCACTCATGGATGTTGCAGCACTATTCAAAACAGCCAAGATTTGAAAGCATTGCAGGTGTTCATCAACAGATGAGTGGCTAAAGAAAATTATACGTAGACACAATGGAGCACTATTCAACCATCAAAGGGAATGAGATTGTTACTTGCAACAACATGGATGGAAATGTTAAGTGAAATAAGCCAGACACAGAAAGACAGGCTTCTCATGTTCTCAGTTATTTGTGGGAACTAAAAATTAAAACAATTTGACTCATGAAGATACAGAGTAGAAGTGGTATGCGGAATGAGAGGAGTAAGGTGTAATGGTTAATAGGTGCACACATTTTGTTAGAAAAAAATAACATTTAGTATTTGATAGCACAACAGGGTGACAAGTTTATTTAATTGTACATTTTACAGTAACTAAAAGTGTGATTGAATTATTTTTAAAAATAATAATAATAAATAAAAGGATACCTGCTTGAGGTGTGATGGATTCTTCATTTACCCTGATGTGATTGTTACACATTCTAGGCCTGTATCAAATAATTTTATATACCCTATAAATATATACACCTATGGTGTACCCCCCCAAAAAAGACCTTCATTCAGAATTAACACAGTGTATATTTACAACTGAAATGAGGCTTCTTGTAACCAAGAAGAGACTAGTGATGGTTCGTTGCTGTTCAAATGGCTGCCAAGTTACCACTTTGCTAACAGTATAAACTGAGTTGTCATGGTGATATTGCTAGTAGCCATTTTAGTAAAGGATGTAACAGAAAATGAGTATACTTTGAAAGTTGCAGAAGCTAAAGTGCTCTTAATCACTACTGATATCAATCTAAACATTTGTTTTTGTTTGTTTGTTTTTTTTGTGAGAAGGAGTTTTGCTCTTGTTGCCTAGGCTCAAGTGCAATGGCGTGATGTTGGCTCACCACAACCTCCACTTCCCGGATTCAAGCAATTCTCCTGACTCATCCTCCCAAATAGCTGGGATTATAGGCATGTGCCACCACACCTGACTAATTTTCTAATTTTAGTAGAGATGGGGTGTTACATAATATTCAGGGGACTGGATAGACCAATAGGTGAAACAGGAGGATTTCATTAAGGTGGCCACCACCTCAGCAGATTTGCATCCCAAGGCTGAGCTCCTAACAAAGACAGGGCTTGACTTTTTATACATCCAGGATGATGTAGCAGCTAACAGGTTTGCAGAAGCCAGACAAAGAACAGTTAATTTGTGGCATGTCTTGTGATGTACATTACATTTGAAAATAGCATTTTGAGAAACACATTGCACATTCTTTGGGTTTTATCTTACCCTGTGACTCTGTTTTTCTTGCAGCTGGTCTGCAAGAAAAACAGGAGTCTTGAGATAACTGGAAACTTTACTGAGAAAGTGGGGAGGGTAGACAAAGTAGATTTTACAGGGAGTTAGTTAATTTCAAGCAGAGCTGGGGGTTAGGTTTTATATTGAACACAACATAGTAAACTGTATTATGTAGCAATTACAGACTACTATTGTTATTATTTAATTTCCCTCTTTAGGGATTTCTCCATGTTGTTTCTCCATGGGTCATGCTGGTCTTGAACTCCCGACCTCAGGTGATCCACCCATTTTGGCCTCCCAGAGTACTGGGATTGCAGGCATGAGCCACTGTGCCCAGCTTGTAAACTGGTTTCTTGAAGGCAGCAAAATTTGTAATTATGAACACTGAGCTCCACTATAGTGGCAGTTAAATTGATCTCAAGACCTGTAGCTAATCTGGCGGGGCTCTGGCTCTAGTTACAAGGTTAGAGAATGCACAGGGAAATGTGCAGGTTTCCATAGATGTGAACTCCAGAGGCAGTGATGACAAGAGGCCAGCCCCAGGAGGACCAATTCTGCATAGTGCTGTTTATGAATGCAGAAGCATCAGGAACTAAGCTCTGAACAGGAACTATGTTCGTGATCTTTGGAAATTGAAAAACATTACAACAGTGTTTAATGCACATTTATCTTGTCCCTCTGCTGTTGATTATTTGTAATGATCTCTTTTTGATGGTAAATTGAACCATTTAAAAATTAATGCCAGATTTTTCTTCAAACTTTTCACCAACAGCTGTTAATCTTGTTAGAATATATTTTCCTTAAGAAACATTACTAATTATGAGGGAAAGGTAAATTAAAAAGCACAATGTAATACCACCTTTCTCCTGCAAGAATGGCCATAATGAAAAAATAAAAAAATCATACATGTTGGTATGGATTTGGTAAAAATGGAACACTTACACTGCTGATGGGAATGTAAACTAGTACAACCACTATGGAAAACAGTACTGCCATTCAACCCAACAGTCTCACACTGGGTATCTTCCCAAAGGAAAAGAAGTCATGAAAAAGACACATGCACATGCATGTTGATAGCAGCACAATTTGCGTTGTAAAAATGTGGAACTAGCCTCAATGCCCATCAGTTAATGGGTAGATAAAGAAAATGTGGAATATATACACCATGGAATACTGCTGAGCCATAAAACAGAATGAAATAATGGCCTTGACAGCAACTTGGATAGAGCTGGAGGCCATTATTCTAAGTGAAGTAACTCAGGAATGGAAAACCAAGTATCATATGTTCTCATTTATAGGTGGGAGCTAAGCCATGAGGATCCAAGTCATAAGAATGATACAGTGGCCTTTGGGACTACAGCAGGAAGGATGCGAGGGGGGTGATGGATAAAAGATTACATATTGGGTACGTTGTACAATGCTGAAGTGGTAGGTAAACCAGAAGCTCCGATGTCAACCCTAAAAAAATTATACATGTAACCAAAACCACCTGTATCTCAAAAACTATTGAAATAAAATTTAAAAACATTACTGATAAACAACTTATGTATACATGCACACACACATATATGTGTAAGTTAAACTGAGAAGCTCCTATTCAGAAAATTTGCTGTGCTCATAAAGGGTATGCTATTCAGCCATTTAAAAACTGAAAAAGTAAGAAGGTACATACCCTGTAGGGATAATTGTGTTTTTCAATAACTACTGTTAATAAACATGATAATTCTATAAAATACCATATTTTACACCATTAAAATATGTTTATGGAAAAACGCAAAAGATTATGATGTGCATATATTCCTATAGTAAATTAAGTCCTGATCAGCTGATTATTCAAATATTATCTGATCTGCATTCCCTCTACATTCCCATAGTCGTGGTTATATGAATAGGAAATTAATGTTGGAAGTAGTTTCAACTGGGTTTTCAGTTAAACAAATGAGAAAACCACATATCTGCTTATATCCTGCTTTCCATATTGGAGAACTTCAGGCATTTGTTGACTTAGCCAGTGGATAAAACATTGAAACTTTAATACCAAGGAACCAAATGTGTTGTTGAGGTATTGCTTTTATACAATTCTTTATAGGGATTACTATGGGAGTGGTAAGATTACTCTGGTTTTGTATTTATTTAAATATTTGACTGAGTGCTGGATACAGTGGCTCATGTTTGTAATACCAACACTTTGGGAGGCCAAGGTGGGAGTATCCACTTGATCACAGTTTTAACACCAGCCTGGGCAAAAAGTGAAACCCTGTCTCCACAAAAAGAATTTTTAAAAGCCCAGCTAACTGGCATGAGCCTGTAGTTCCAAGCCTTGAAAGGCTTAGGTGAATGGGTCACTTGAGCCTGGGAGGTTGAGTCTGCTGTGAGCTAGGATTATGCCACTGCACTTTAGCCTGGGTGACAGAGCAAGACCCTGTCACAAAAAAACAAAAACAAAAAGGACAGCTGAATAATCATGTGGCAGAGGGCTGCTCCCAGTCTCTTCCCCTCTCAGTACATTCAACTCATCCCCACAGTCTGTTCTGGCCAGGAGTGACAGATGCTGAGCACCTTGGGGTTTCATTTCTAACTAAACTCAGGAGAAACACTGTGTAAGGCCAGCACCCTACCAGAAGGCATCTTTTAAAATGGGTTTAGTCTAGCCAAGATGTGTCTCTCTGATCCTTCTATCGTTCGAAGTGTAAAGAGTATTCCTTCCCCTTAATAGTGACAGCTAATAAATGGCATCCATCATTTCTGTCATCAGATCAGTATTGCAGTGCCTTGGGAGTGAGCATGAAGTCTGATTTTTGCAATGGAACGCTGAAGAATGAGCCCGAGTCAGCTGCACAAGTGCAGAAGAGGCTGTCACCTTTCTCCTCATCCCAAACTTGGGGTGCTCAGTGCAGAACGGACTGCAAGCAGCTGTGCCCTGTTTGGACATTAGCATAGGAACCCACCTGCATAGGCTGTATTTGTTTCAAAACAATTTGGAGCCATTCTAGTAGCTCAGTGGGACATTTTTAAATAAATAGAAATATTTTATTAACTGACAACAAAAAAACACTGCCTTTTAAATGCATGTAGTATTGTTTAAAGAGTATCTACAAAATTGTAACCTCAATGTTTTCTTGCAAAAGAAGCAGAAGTAAGTACAGAGACACTTTCAAATGAAGAACCACTGAGAAACAAAATATAAGTAGTATAACATTTACTTATGTACCTTTTTAAAGATTATACAAGAATCAATTTGCATCAGGCTTTCCAATTTATTAACATTAATAGGAGTTCCCTCTAAGGAAAGTTTTCACATAAATGTTGAAGAGATTCTTAAAACTGAAAACTTTTCTGTATTTGGTAATCTACTGGGATTCCAATCCAATGTGCTTTCATATATTTATAAGGTCTGTCTACATTGTGTATTATCATGGATCTTCCAGCAAAGATAATGTAAATGAAGGCATTTCTACATTCTATACATTCATAGATTTTATTTCAGAAATGAGTTCTTATCCTCATGTGGAAGTGGAACAACTGCAGACCTTACCACATGCTTATTTATAAGGATTTTCTCCATTGAATCCCTTCATGTTTTCAAAGAAATGAAAAAGGTGAAGGCTTTACCATGTTTCTTAAGATTATGTCATTTTTCTCCATAGTAAATATGAATATGTCTTTGAAAGCAAATGGGAAAATGAAGTTTATTGAAACATTTTTACATTCATGTTTCTTTTCTGGTAAAAGTTATTTCTAAGTTTTCAAAGAGAACTGGGAACATTGCATGCTTTCTTATATTTCTTTCCTCAATAGGGTTCTGTCCAGTGTGCGTTATTTCATGAATTCTAATAAACTAGAGCACATGATGGCTTTACCACATTTCTTACATGAGAATAATGTTTTTTAAGACAGCCCAGTGAACTAACATTGTCCTGTGTTGGTTTTGTTGTTTCTCCTTCCCCAGGAATGAGTTGGAAGAGTACTTCTTGGAGCTAATTGATTATAATTTCATCATTCCTGGAAAGGTTTATACCAGATACTACTTCTATCTTCGTGCCTTGGCACACAAGCATGGCCTGTGTTTGCCAGTTTACCTTCTTGAGAGAGAAAGCGCATGGAAGCTACAGGTAAGGCATGAAGTTACTAAGTGGGTTTTCAGTCAAACACCAATGCCAACGTCTGTGACTAGGTCATATTAAGCAATGATTAGAAAAATGGAAAGCTTCAAAATTAACTAACATACTGAAGCGCTTATTAACCTTTTGGCATTCTGTTTTCTGTATCTTTTATGGTTTTTATAAAGATTCACATTATTTGAAAATTATAGATATTATCTCTTTTGTGACCATAATTCAGAATGTTTTAATCAAAATTTAATTCTTAGTGAATTTGAACCTTTTGAACCTTTGCCTTTGCAAATAATCACACATAAATGATTTCTTGCCATTATATTTCTACTGATGTCTACATACATAATGCAGCTACCCCTCTTGACTACTTTTTATTACTCAGTTTGCAAATTTATGTCATTTTCTACGGTGTGTACCACAGTGCAGTCAGTCCCATGGGTTTGTCAGACAAACCATTAGTGCCTAAGCCGAGAGGCCTGCACTTAATATGAGGTGTGCGTATCTCAAGGACTGGATGCAGGAAGTACATGGGATTTTACTGGAAATGATAACTTTTGTGGGACAAACTAATATTTATGGTTTGTGACTTTTGGTAAGTACACAGCAAAATTACAGCTGACAAGGATGAACATTTAAAATAGGCATGTTCTGTGGCATCATGGAAGTATTTTGAAATAATACATTAATTAGTGCTAGTGAAGTAGTGCCTTTTGATGCTTTAGTCATTAGACTTCACTTACATTTCAGTACAACCCAGCACATGCCTGCCTAGTTAAAATTTGCTTTGAGTATATAATAACTTATAGATTCGGTAGAATTTGAATAGATTAATAAACTAACTTTTTGTGAAAATGTGCGTTCATTATGTTTAAGGAACAAGTGCATTGGTAACAGATGATACTGTTAGAAGCCTGTTACAGTACTGTGACATTTTTGGAGCCCAATTTTTAAGTAACTTAATAAAGCAAGCTCCCCTTTGCTCCAGCAATCAAATTCTAGCCCTCAAAGGAGATTACCTTAGTGAGCTGCCAGAAGTTGGCAGTGTAAACCTCAGCCTCAGTAGCTGTAGCTGAACTATCTAAAGAAGTCTGCATGTTTGGCTTATCATCAGTGGTGATAGTTGTAAGGTTGGAACCCTTTTATAACTGTACCTTTTTTCTATTTGACACTCTTAGGCTTTTTCAAGGATGGAACAAGATGAAGTCTTCTCTACTGCTGGCCAGAAAAGGTCTTTTGAGTGCTGATGATTTGATTCATCTTCAGCGCTCTAAGGCCATCCTCTCCTGAAGAAAGAAATGAGGGGTAATGTAACATCTGAACCCCTCATCAAAAAAGACAGGAAAATACCACCTCTCCTGCTAAAGAACTAGAAAAATTAGTATTTTCAAAAGAAGAAACACCTCAATTCCAGTTAACTCAAGGACAGCTAAGATTGCACATCCTAGTAAAGAATGGGACCTTGTCAGGGGAACAACACAGTTTTACACTCTTGTGTCCCTTTTCATGTAAACAGTGTTATAGAAACCACTCCAAAGTGAAGGCTCCTTCTGCCCACACATAGATACTAGCTTAGTGTGTGGGCTGATAGCTGTGAACTATGTAAGGCTTTTGTTTGTTTGATTTGAGATGAGTCTCACTCTGTTGCCAGGCTGGAGTGCAGTGGCACAATCTTAGTTCACTGCATTCTCCACCTCCTGGGTTCAAACCATTCTCCTGCCTCAGCCTCCCTCCTTAATTAAATTTTTTAAGTAGCTGGGATTTACAGGTACACCAGGCCTATGTAAAGCTTTTAAAACAATAGTTTAAATTTTTTAGATTTTAAAGGTAACTTTTCTTTTTTTTTTTTTTAATATTTTTTCTTTCTCCCCAAATTGCTGCATATACGTTTGAAATCAACGCAGTATTAGTATTAACACATGTCAGAGGTGTTCATGAATAGCACAGTCTTTTCTTCCTGGAGATCCTCCCCTGCAGGTGTCCCAGCCTGCTCACAGCAGCCATAGAAGGGGCCTGTATACTGAGAGAAGCTGCAGAGCCCTGGAAAGCTAGGAATGCACAGGCAGACATTGGTGAGAGTTGAGATGGGAGGTTAGTTGTGATGTCCTCTGCAATTGTTATTGTCCTGAGGCTGTTTCTAGATATTGTCAAACAAATTCAGATGTAGGTAGGACATGACTTAATTTTAAATTAGTATTGCAGTGGGAAAGCACCAAGCATCAGATCTGCAAGCATCTGAAAAGAGGGGGAAAAGGGCTGTTTATATGGAGGAGCAAACAAGATTAGAAGGAAGGTGGGAGGAAGAGTGGAGAATGGCAAAATCAGATTCAGGCTTAGGGAATGTTTCACCCACAAATCAGCCCATTCTTAGGAGGGGTATAAACAGAGTTTGTATTTTGGCTCAGACTGAAGGCAGAGCAGAGTCCGGGAGGCTGGGGAAAGGAGACAAACTTATAGAGTGTATTTAACAGGTATTTTGTTCTGAACACTGCAGACAAAATTAATCGTTTATAAGGGGAAAATGAAAAATTAGAGAGTGTGTGCATTTGTGATACCTAAAAGAGGAAGGATCATCTAAGTCATAATGAAAAGGGTATTTATTTGCCGTAAACTCTTTCTGCAGAACACAAAGGATGGAGAGTTTTTAACCATGCCTGTTTACCAAGATTGACTACCCACCCCATCTTTTTCCCCACTTTACTTTGTCCTCTACAATTTTTTCCATTTGGTTTTTCTGAGTTGTATCCTATATAATAACCTGGTAAACATAGGTAAAGTTTCTCTGCTAAGTTCTGTAAGTAGTTTTATCGAATTGTTAAACTTGAGCAAGGGAGTTATGGAAGCCTATGATTTATGGACAGAAATACAGATGGAATTGCTGGAACCCAGGAGGCAAAGATTGCAGTGAGCCGAAATTATGCCAGTGCACTCCAGGGTGACAGACTGAGACTCTGTCTCAAACATAAATAAATAAATATTTTAAATAAAATCTTTTAAACATTTTAAATAAAATCTTGTTTTAACCAATTATTGTTTGTATTCATATAATTTTGTTAATATAAAAGACCCACCTCTGGACAGACTATTATGATTTTCTTCTTACTCATATCCAACTAAACTATACCACCCTGTTTTCTAAAAAAAAAAAAAAAAAACAAAGTTTCTATTAACTAATCTTATTAGTTTAGACTTAGACTTTCTGTTTTGCCTAAATATTATCTTTCTTAAACAACCTGGTCATTTTATTTTAGGACAAAAAATTTACCACACAAAATTCCTTCTTATATAAAGTTGCTTTTTTTTCCGCCTTCTTTATCAAAAATACCTCTTTATATATTTGACTTTCTTTACATTTCATATTTCCTGGTTCCTTTTACCTCATTTTATACACAACTTTTATGGAAAGTTTGAATTAGACAAAGATAATTTACCTTCTAATAAGAACGTTTCAAAAATGTTTTCTTACATTTTTTTAAGTTGGAAATTACCCAGCTAGTTAATATCTGTTAATAATGATATATACCAAATCATATGACATGTATGTTTATGACCATTCCATTACATTTACAAAATTATTTAATATTTTATCTAGATTATGAAACTGTGATAGTTTTTAAAGTAAATTCCCTGTTAACCATTTTTATTTCAGGAGCTTAAGTAATTTATTTTTTATTTTTTATTTTTATTTTTTGCTTTTATTGCCCAGGCTGGAGTGCAGTGGTGCAATCTCGGCTCACTGCCACCTCTGCCTCCTGGGTTCAAGTGATTCTCTTGCCTCAGCCTCCCAAGTAGCTGGGACTACAGGCACCAGCCACCACACAGGCTAATATTTTGTATTTTTAGTAGAGAGAGGGTTTCACCATGTTGGCCATGCTGGTCTCGAACTTCTGATGAGGTGATTGGGCCTCCATCGGCCTCCCAAAGTACTCAACAAATTACAGGCGTGAGCCACCATGCCCAGCCTAAGTAATTTTCTTAGGGATAAATATAAGGGTATTTTTACCAATAACTCAGAATATAGATATTTTCTTTAAATCAAATTGTTCCATGTCTTATTTATCAAAAATTACACAAGCAAGCATCATTCTATCTTGGGCTGGGGGTTTTATAGTTTTATAACCCTTATAACAAGTTTTATAGTATTCTGCAGGAGTAAGTATGAAATCACTTGATCAACAAATGCAAACAAAAATACTGGAAATTATTACAGCATTTCTAATATTTTTGAATAACTTGAAAACCAGCTTATTTATAAAACATTTTACTTAAGTCACATACATGTGAAAAAGCATTTGTCTATTCTTATTGATAAAACGGTTGATTTATGTACTTATATTTTTATTTGTCAATGAATTAGAGCTTTCCATTTATAGTAGAGAAATATTGCATACACAACACATAAATACATAAATCTATTAGGCATGCTGACAGAAATATGTCTTACAGATTCATAAGACCTCTTTTTTCTATCCTAGAGAAATTTTTTTGTATTTGTATTTTTTTTATTTAAATACATTTTTGGGGAACAGATGTTTGTTTAGACCACAACAAAATCACCACCACAGAAAAGATAGTTCTTTAAATTTTATTTCAAAATGAATAATTGAAATGATTTTGATGTTTTTATTTCGAACACTTGGTACTAGTGCTGGCTCGGTATTGAAGAAATATTGATTAAGCATTTAATATCACTTATTATTTGGAACATATGTAGAAAATGGTTCCTGCTTGCTTGTTCTTTAGTGGTGAGTTTTGAGATTTTGGTGCACCCATCACCTGAGCCGTGTACACTACCCAATGTGTAGTCTTTTATCCCTCACCCACCTTCTACCCTTTCCTTCAAGGCCCCAAAATCCATGGTATCATTCCTATGCCTTTGCATCCTCATAGCTTAGTTCCCACTTATGAGTGCGAACCTAAGATGTTTGGTTTTCTATTCCTCAGTTACTTTACTGAGAATAATGGTCTCCAGTGTCATCCATTATATTGTTCCTTTTCATGGGCGAGTAGTATCCAGGGCATCAGTGAGGTCTAGGGAACTCCAAGGCTACTCAGAGTAGGTGGGATAGAGACATGGGTGAGAGTAGATAATTCTTATTCTCTAGGCCCTCCCTGCTTCATGAGTGCAAGCTGCTTTGGCACCTATGGGTGGCATCTGTCAAGGTTGCTGGGACTCAGGGATGCAAGGACGGAAGAGAGAAGGACCCCCTTCTCTCCCT